GTGCTTGAGCCGTTCTGTTGCAAGGACTGCTGCAGATCTTCCCGGAGTTGCACTAATGCCTTTTCATTGGCTTTCAGAGCTCTACTCAACTCTTGCGTATTGTTTCTGAGAGATACCTGTTGGAGATGTTCCAATTGCTGCTGATGGGCAGTGCACTGTCGCTGCAGCTCCTCTTTTCCCTTTCCAAGGCCTTCAACGACCTCACAGCAATGACGCTGTGCATATTTTAATTGTGCTGCCAGCATCTCCAGCCGGGCTCGCTCTTCCTCAAAGATCGCCAATCGTTGTTGCTCTTGTGGTTGCCGCATGGGTGAATTGGCGGCTGCAGAAACGGTGGAGGATGGGAGGGATGAGGGAAAAGGCCCTGTCGCGAGTGTTGAGTTTGGCAAGGGCGGATTTACTGTTTTTTGCCCGCCAGCATCGCTCTCATTATCGTGACGTCCCCAAACACCACAGAGGCCATGCCGCAGAGACTCCAGGCTGTTGAGTGAGCCTTCCGCATACATCACAAGCCCCTGAACAGAGCGAAAAAGATGGCCAACAACATCGGAGAGGTACTCGTACTTGTCATGGTAGTTCCCTTCGGCATGTACTGTCTCAAGCAGCGACATGGGTGCGGACAGGCACTCACGACATTTGGCAAGTTCATGCTCACGCGTCACGTCCTCAAGAAGCGCAATCAGTTCATCCTGTGCCGCGCGTGCTGCCGCTTCCTCTTCTTCCTCCTCTTTCCCCCCCACTCTTTCACCCCGCGTCAGACGGGAATGATGCTCGGTATTCATGCCGGCGTCGATACGATCGTCTGTTTGTGTGGTCTTGCAAGAAGTAAGGGGAGGCGACGCATTCCATTGCGCCTTTTGCGCCTCCTCCAACTGCCCGGAGAGCGTCAAGACCTCCACCTCACGTTTGGCAAGCTCGGAGGCAAGGTTATGGTACTGGTGCGCCTGAACGGAGAAGAGAAAACTCTCCACCACCTCACCCACACGTACACGACAGTACTGCTCTGTCGATGGGTCACTCAAAAGCTGCAGAAAGATGTTATCCCGCGGCAACTCATTCATGAGAGCACTAAAAATGGCGCTGACACTACTACGCAGTTTGTCGTTGTATAACTGACGCAGCACGGATTCCCGACGCGCAATCTCCACCACGGCATTCACACCAGCGTGCTGCGGGTGGATTCCACCCACGCGTCTTTTCTGTGACTGCTGGGCGGTTGAGGTGTTATGGCTCCCGTATGTGGACTCGTTCTCTCCGTCAAGTGAGGCACCGCCAATGTGGCTTGTGTGTAGTTGACGAATCCCGTGCAGCTCCGGTGGTGTGCTCGTGCACAAATTGTCATACACGCGACCTGCCATTTCTGCAGCGCGTAATTCCTCCTCCGAACCGTGATACATCGCACTGGTCTTCTTCTAATTATTATTATTTTTTATTTTTTCTTCTCTTGAAAATTCCTTTTTCCCTTCACTCGCCTCTCAACTCCTTTCTCCAAGTGAGGACAAAGGGAATTCGGGCAAAGCACCATACACGCACACATGCAAGAAGGAAAACAAGAAACAAAAAACAAACAAACAAAAGAAAACAGCCTCCAAACGCAAACAAAAAAGACTACCGCAATGGGCGGGCACCTTTCCCATTTTCCCCTCCCCCTTCATGGTTTCTAGATAAAAGGGAAGGAGGGGCCCCAACGGTTCTGCACATCTTCTCATGTCAAAAACCAGTTATCATCCGCCGTCACAACGTCGCTAACGATTTCCGTAGTGTTGCTTGGAGTAAGGCACTCTCAGGGTGATCCGGACATGCTTCCAGTGCCTGCGTCAGCAGTTTATACGACTTCTCAAAATTCCCCGCTTTAAACGCGAGGAGAGCGAAGTTGTAAAGCGGTTCATGCTGTTCTGGCGATACTTCAATGGCCATGGCAAGATCATTCATGGCCTGGTCCACTTGACCTATATTTAAATTCAGCACCGCAAGATTGTTGAGAGCTTCGGCGTGACGGGGGTTAGCGCCCAGGGCAACTTTAAATGCGCGGTGCGCAAGGCCCAAGTCGCCGGTGCCAATTCCAATATGCCCAATGTTATACCACACATCTGCCAACGTCTCGTCCTCCGTCGAGATGGCTACGGCTCGCTGCAGACAACTGAGGGCGATATCGTACTGGGAGCTGTAGAAGCAACAAAGACCTAAATTGTTCCAGAGCTCGGTTGTCTGTACGCCCATTTGCAAAAGACGACGGTACAAACGCAACGCAATCTCCGGTTGCTTTTTTTCGTAAAACATATACGCCGCAATGCAGGCAATGGACTCCATGTTGCTACTATCCAACTGCAACACACGGCGGTATAACTGGCACGATTTCTCCGCATCTTGCAGCTGATCGTACAGGCGTGCCATGTGAAGGAGGAGGTGGTGATCCATTGGATTTTTCTTCGAGGCTTCGGAAAGCAGATCCAGTGCTTTGAGGGGTTGATCCATCTTCGTAAACACCCTCGCGAGTCGCATGACATCTGCGACATTTTCCTGAATTGTGAGCGCCGCCTTAAACATACGTTCCGCCTCGCGTAAAAGACCCAGGCGATAGTACGCCTGACCCATACGTGACATCCACCACCAGTCCTTCGGCTGCTGCTCCAGTGCGATGGCCCCAAGTTCTAGCACCATTCTCGGCCGGTGCTCCACGTGAAGCAAAAAGTCGCACAGAATCCTCGCCACAATCGGCTTCGTACGACCATACTTCTCAAGATTTAACTTCCGCACGTCTATATGAGGGCCACCAGGGACAGCCTGCAACGACGCTGTGCCAATGCGCATCATGCGTGATGTGATGGGTCGGATAGACATTGTGCCTGGACGGTTTCTGCTTTGTGTCCCCGGCCGCACGTAGCCGTAACGACTGCTGATGGGGCGTGCCGTGCCCTGTCGCTGCGCCATGCCTGTGGGGATTGTTGTCCCTGTTGGGGCGTCCTTCCGCTGCAGGGATGTACCCGGACGATGTGCGGTGGAGGATATGTTTTGTTCCCCATCCAGTAGCACTTCATCCACGCCATCGTTATCCACGTCAAGTTCATCAAACCAGTCCTGCGTAATAAGAGCTCGTGTCTGTATGAACCACAACGGCTCATCCACACCATCTGCCTGTTTCTGCGTCCCGGACGATGTCAGTCTCATCTTTTCATTGAAGACAGCAAGATATTGCGTCGAGACGGCGATGCACTCCTCCAGACGACGGCGACGCAGAAGACTCAATGCATAATACGTTGGATCCATCCCGGCTGGTAGTGGTGGTATGGTAGTGTGGGGAGGAGGGCTCACCAGAGCACTATTAGCAATAGTAGCACTAGCAGTTCCACCATGAATATTTCTATGCATTATTGAGTCGCCGCAACGGTCGACAGCAGGCCTTATCGAATTCTGCCCTTCTCTAATATATATATCTTTCTTCTCTGTCTTCTTGTTGGTGAACTTCCTCCTCCCTTTTCCCCGCCTAATCCACTCGCGCTTGATGGCGATTTGGGCAGTTGAAGACAACACCCCTTACCACAAATAAACCAAAAAAAAAAAAGACACCCATGACAGACCATACATTTCCGCGGTAAATACACATAAATACATAGATACATACATACAGATGGACAGTCATAGAACAAGATTGATAAAGGAAAACATGCAATCACACCAGCCGTTACTGCTGGCATTGTACTTCCTGCTTTTTTTTTTTTTTGCGTGTGTTTTCTTTTTGAATCAATTTGATGAACCCGCATTGCGGCAACAAATCCCCTCAGATCTCATGGTATTACAACTGTGTGCCCCAGCAATACGCGGCTGGCTTTGGGCGCTGGTCGTTGCCGCCAGCCCCATGCCAACAATCCCATGTGGGGAACGTTGCTGGCGCCTGGCTTCTCTTCCTCCAGATAATAAGGGGAAAATTGAACCTCAGCAACTACGCTGAGGCGGCCGGTGGCATTGTCAATTCGAAGAGCTCCTGTGACGACAAAAGGCAGGGGGTTGACACAATGAAAGCTACCACTTCCCGTCTGTTTACTTAACTCGTTTCTCTCCTCCTATGTGTTTCTTTTTTCTTTTCTTTTTATTTGCTTCGCACCCCTCTTTTCCCCTCCAATCACCGCGCCACATAAAACAGGCATTTCACCACCCACCGTTCATTGAACACCAAAGAGCACCAACCATAAGTGCCATTGCAGTGATGCGTATAGAAGAATGGCTGTGGCGCCAAAAATGGTCCGGTGCTGCGAGCCCTTTCCCGGCCTGATCAAAGAAACAACTAAAGGGATGGGAGAGACGAGGGCGGGGGTAAAATAAAAAAATATTTATTTATTTATAAAAAAAAAAGAAACAAACAAACAACTGGCGTGAGGGTTGGTGTGTAAAAAACAACAACAACAACAGGCCTCCCCCACCCCTCTCCGCCTTAAACCACACACACACATACAGTCACATTCTATACATTACATGCATTGCAGATATATAAAAGAAAAACAACACGCACACACACACACAAAAAAAAAAAAAAAAAAATTATATATAAGTACCCAACTGTGCGTGTGTCAACGCATGCAATAAATAATAATAATAGCAAGAAGGAAACTACTGCACCAAAAGAAATGCCCTGGCGGGTTCAATACACACACTCACACACACGCACACATATATATATATATTTATATTTATATTTATATATGCAACACTCCTTTTTTCTGGTTACTTTGCTTATGACTGTTCATATCATTTTAAGAAAATGTTTTCTTCTCTTTTGTTTATTTATTTTTATTTTTATCCACCACTTCTCTTGCCTTTCTCTCCACGTACGTCATTGTCACATTCCTGCTCTCCCTCTTTCCAAGTCCAATTTTTTTTTTTTTCTTTTTTTTTGGCTTCCCCTCTTCTCTCCTCATTCCCTCTCCTTCTGTCTGTGTCTGTGCGTTGATGTCTACTCGGGGAAAGGAATAATAATAATAATAATGAAAAAACAAAACAAAACAAAACAAAAGAGAGAGAGAGAGAGAAAAGAATTCTCCCTGACTCTCCGTCTCCCCTCCACCACGTTCCTCTTTCTTCTTCAGCTTTTCTTTTCTTCTTTTTTTGATTACATGCATGCCGCTTCAATGCAGCAACGCCACAACAACAACAACAACAACAACAACAACAACAACAATAACAAATAAATGATAATAATAAAAATGAACACGCACCCCAAAGAGGCAGTTCGTAGAAAAAACAAACAAACAAACAAACAAAAAGGAAGTCAAAGAGAAACGGACCGACGGGAAAGACAATTCCAACACACACTCTTCCTTCATTTTCCTTCCTTCTTCCTCTGGTTTGTATGACTTCTCACACTCCTGTTGATTTCATAGTTGAATGCCTCACCGTGCTGCCAAAGTCCTGTACCAAAGAACGCGGGTGCGATTCTTCGGGAAGCCAAAAGACAATCATTCCGCGCTGCGGCGCTTCGGATCTCAACCTGTACGGCACCGCGATGTGGTCGCTGCTGTGCTGCCAACGCATAGTTATGCACCCCACAATGCAATTGGCATTTTTGCGGAGGCAAATTGCCTGACCCGGGCACCGCGGCGGAAAATACATGCGGAACTCGGCATCACGCGTTTCGAGGTCAATTGCCAGGCCTGCCGGACAGGGAAACCGCAGCCAGACATCTCCACACCCCGGGAAGTGGTAGCTTTCATTGTGTCAACCCCCTGCCTTTTGTCGTCACAGGAGCTCTTCGAATTGACAATTCCACCGGCCGCCTCAGCGTAGTTGCTGAGGTTCAATTGTCCCCTTATTATCTGGAGGAGGAGAAGCCAGGCGCCAGCAACGTTCCCCACATGGGATTGTTGGCATGGGGCTGGCGGCAACGACCAGCGCCCAAAGCCAGCCGCGTATTGCTGGGGCACACAGTTGTAATACCATGAGATCTGAGGGGATTTGTTGCCGCAATGCGGGTTCATCAAATTGATTCAAAAAGAAAACACACGCAAAACAAACAAACAAACAAATATGACTTTTCACCTTCTTCATTTCTTCTCACGGTCGTTCTTTTTTCACCGTTGCCTTTCCCTTCTAGATCTCCTTTGGCTCAAAGAGTTCAAACAGCTGGCTTCGACACACGGGACATGTGCTCACGGAGGGCGCACAAAGCCTGCAGAGCACCTTGTGACGACACGGCAGTGAAATAACTGTTGGCACGTGATCCATGCACACAACACAGTTCTCCTGTTTACTAGAGATAGCCTCGCGCACTTGCTCAAGATACTCAATCATATCACGCTCTGCAAGCCGCAGCTGGGAAACCTTGAGCTCATTGATGTTCGTCGGAAAAAGTACGCCGCTCTGATTCATTTTATTAATGATGTCTTGCCGAATCTGTCGGCGTGTC